GTACTAGTAGTAGTACTAGTACTATAATACTGCTGCTGCTGCTGTTGCCTAGCCGCTACTGTCGGCGAACCCTGGAAGGAGTGAGTGTTCCGAAACCCCAAAGCCCTGAACCTTCAAGCATTGGCCGTCTACCCGAAATCCCAAACCCCAGAAAACGTTTAGACTGTTGGCAGGGCCTGGGTGTGGGCAACCGGGCGGCTTTGCGTGTAGTAGTGGCTGTAGTGGTAGTGGTAGTGGTGGTAGCAGTGGCAGTAGCAGTAGCAGTAGCAATACGCGTGGCAGTAGCAGTAGCCGTAGCAGTAGTAGTAGTAGCCGTAGCAGCAGTAGTAGTAGTAGCAGCAGCAGCAGCAGGAGGAGGAGGAGGAGTAGTAGTAGGAGTGGTAGTGGTAGTAGGAATGCTAGTGGTAGTGGTAGTAGTAGTAGTGGTAGTGGTAGCGGTAGCGGTAGCGGTAGTGGTAGTGGTAGTGGTAGTGGTAGTGGTAATAGTAGCAGTAGTAGTAGTAGTAGTAGTAGTAGCAGCAGTAGTACTCATACCAGTACCAGCACTAGCACGAGCAGGAGCAAGAGCAGTAGCAGTAGTACGAGCAGTAGCCGTCGTAGTAGCAGTAGTAGTAGTAGTAGTAGTAGTAGCAGCAGCAGCAGCAGTAGTAAAGCGCCACGAGCGGTTCAAACGCGCGGGGATTAGAATGATCGCATGGAGCTCGGCTGCACGGGGCATCTCAGGGCTTGGCTGCTGGAAGAACTAGATTTCTGCCTAGCAAACCAGCCGATTGCAGTTCTGGAGTGGGCGGAAGCACTCGCGCAGCAGCTGTGGAATCAGCTGACGTTGCCGGAGTTGATACTGGAAGCAGCTTTTATCCTGCCTCCTGCCCAACTGGAGCACTTCCTCAGATTTGCCTTTCATAACTACCCCAGGGAGCTTACAGCTGCGCTAGCTGAAATATCGGCGCGAGCAGCATGCGACAACTACGCCTAAACTTTTTCTCTACAATCCCCGCTGAAAACAAGCATGGCAACACGACGAACTCCACTCCGACTACCAGTACCGCGCACGTGGATGCCAGTTCGACTCGGTCCCAAGTCCGAGGACCGAATACCGCAAGCACAGAAAATATAGCAGAACTCTCGGTTGGCGCGAGGGTTTCCTGTTCTCCCCCGAGACAGGATGCAGCCGTTTCGGCGGCAAAGGACGGGGAAGTATGGCATAGGCCCATTCGATCAACGGCAGATCGAATCAGGAAGAGAGCACTCAAACGTGCGCTAAGACGAGCAGAAAGGGATGGTGCAGCCACCTACAGAGGACGTCTGATCAAGCCATGGACTCCCCCGTACGAGCCCGCCCCACGCCGCCCCCACCAAGGCGAACATCTCCGGCAAGGATCAAGACAGTGCACTGGAACTGTAGTGGGCTCTCCCAGGAGCTACAACTGCAGTGGTTTGCTTGGCTGCAACAGGACCCCGAGATCGGGATCTTTGTGTTGGTCGAGACGCATTGGTCTTTTACCGGGGACTAACAGGCCAACGGCTGGGTTATAATACACAGCGGCATCGAGGGCAAGCGCGGCTCAGGAGTCATGATAGGCGTCAAAGCCGACCTCGTCGACCGAACTTCATTGAAGTGGGATGTGGTGGAACCAGGACGGCTACTACATGTGCGTTGCACGATCTGCAAGCAGCAATTTGACATCATAGCGCTGTACCAGCACGCCTTAGCCAGAACTGCACAGGACAAGCAAGAGGCGCTAATGGCCAAGCGCCGGAAAATCTGGAAGAGGCTGGACGCGACTCTAGCAGGCTTCCCCTTCCGCTCCTCTCTGCTCTGCATGGGCGACTTCAACACGGTCTTTCAGCCCACAGCGGAAGTAGCAGGTGACGGTATTAAGAAGGGCAGTGATGTCGAATGGCTGCAACAAGAACGAGAAGAGGTCATGCAGATACTGCAGTCAAGAAGACTGGTAGCGCTGAACACATGGCGGAGACCGGAGGTGACGTGCACTCACCCCAACGGCGAGTCGCAGATAGACTACATTTTAATCCGCAGGCAGCTGGCGGACATCACAGCAAAACGCTGCGGTGCTCTCTCCACCCCCTTGGCGGGCTGGCGGTCAGCGGGGCATGTGGCTCTTCAAGCTTCTATCAAGCTTAACTGGCGACCTTGGTGTCAGAGCCTAGGGAATGACCGATCGGTTTTGCAACCCGCGCCAGCGCTGGCCGAGATCATGGAACAGCAGCGCATTGACCTACAGCAGCTGCAGCTTGCGGTGAAGCAACAACTGGATGCGCCTGCAAACAGGCTGGCAATGCCAAAGCCCAGGAATGCGGATGAGCGAGTTGTGGCTCTATGGAGCCAGTACCAGATCAAAGAAGCGGAAATGCGAGGACAAGGCGCCTGGACCGCCGAGATTGAGGAGCGCTACAAAACGCAGCTGAAGAAGGACACCCGGGCCATCGCCAGACAGCGCAAACGAGAAGGACTGCTTGAAACTCTGGATCTGGTTGGTCAGGCGCAAAGGCGCAAAGGGCAGGAGATATGCGTGCACAGTACCAGTTCATTCGTAAGGTTTGCCCCAAAACTTTTCGGCGAAAGCTTTGTCTAAAAAACAAGCATGGACAGCTGATGACCAATGAAGAAGAATGTGACACTCTGGCACAGCATGCAAAGCAGCTCTTCGATGACGAAGCGTTTGAGCCCCCGGAGCTACTCCCATTGCCCGCGTCATGGTTTCATGAAGGCGAATGGCAGAATGCAATCCAGAAGCTTGCCAACCACAAAGCAGTACCGAAATTCTCTGCTAGCGTACACTGCTGGAAAACTAATAGTCAGGAGCTCTCACCTGCGTTACAGAGAATTGCCTTGGCAACGGTCTGCTCGGCAGCACCCTACATCCCCGAATTCTGGACACGCGTGCAGCTGGCGTGGTTGCCGAAACCAGGCCGGGCGCCGACTTCTCCGGCTCAGCTGCGCAGCATAGGATTAATGGGACCCGACACTAAGGCGTTTCTGAGCATCTTGAAGTCTCATGCAAACCCCTGGATACAGCAGGCTCTTGCTACTGTACCACAATATGCTTACAGGCAATTGGCGTCCACCAGTGACCCCATCCTGAGGGCAACCCTTCATTGCTCCACGGTCAGACAAGCACTGGCAGGGTATCTCGAGGATCACACCGCGAAGATTCTGCACAAAACTGATCGAGAGCTCCTCGGAGGAATCATGGTAGGTATAGACCTCAGCAAAGCCTTTGACTACCTGAGCTACACTGAGATGTATCTTGCGCTACAAAGTACGGGTATGCCGGAAGAACTGAGTCGCATGCTGTTACATATACATGTACAAACCACATTACATGTTGAGCATGGTGGCTGCAGCCGGGAAGTACGCATGAAGCGCGTATACATGTACAAACCACATTACATGTTGAGCATGGTGGCTGCAGCCGGGAAGTACGCATGAAGCGCGGATTACGACAAGGATGTTCTGTAGCACCCATGATCTATGCTTGCTGGACGGCTAAGCTTTGCAAGGAGATTGAATCCGCCATTCGCTCGGATGCTCAGGCAGGCAAGCAACACAGTACCTGGACGCAATCACACATGTCAATATTCGCAGACGACAAACATTGCTTTTTGGGAAATCAACTCACCAGGTGACTTTACCAGAGCAATCAAGCAGATTCGCAACATTCTCACAATCGTACAGCGCGCAGGCATGGTGATCAACATACAGAAATCCCAGATTGCGGTGATGCTGAAAGGGAACCAGGCCCAGCAAATGATGACTAAGCATACCCAATACTGGGATGGAAACAAATGTCTTATCCTTCGCCATGCAGACTCGGATGTGCGCCTTCCGATCGTGGACAAGATGGTCTACTTGGGTGTGGTACTCAGCTACGGAGGCTTTGAGAGTGCAACCACGCAATACCGATGCCAACAGGCAAACATCGGGTACGCGCAACTCAAGGCGGTCCTCCGGACGAGCAGTACGCTCAGCAAGGCGCAAAGACTGCGATTCTACACTACCTGTGTTTGGCCCTCGCTCATCTACGGAGTCTGTGCTGCAGGCGTCAACGCCTCGTCGGTGAGAACCCTTCAAAGCACAGCGGCCATGCACCTCCGCAAGGTCCTACGCACACATGAACGTGGATGGTCCAATGAAGCAGTCCTGAAACAGGCCGATCTCGACGTCCTTGAGCACTTGCAGTCGCGCCTTGAACGACAAGCCTGGGCCCTACAGCAAGATCAAACCAGAGATGAGAGCCGACGACAAATGGAAACCGTAAGACTGCAGCAAGTCACACAACAGGTTCATCTACTACAGCATCAGGGGCTCGCCGCCGCCATCACGCAGGTCGAATCAAGCTCCATTGTGCAGATACCATGTCCAGTCTGTGGAGTGTACTTCGGATCCTCCGAAGGATTACACCAGCATCTTCATCAGCGACATCCAGAAGTTGAGCAGGCCTCAAAAATACAGTTCAAACGTGCCACGCACAGCTTGTTTGGACTACCACATTGTCGGTTCTGTAGGACAAGGTTGACCAACTGGCAATCGTTGACCAAGCACATCACACAAGGCACGTGCTTGAGGATCAAGGTTGCAGTTGGACAGGGCAAAACAATAGATCAGCTACTCGAGGAGATCATTGCGGAGGAAATGGAAGATCCCCCGCAAGCTCCGGCAGGGGACGCATCGTCAGCATCACGAGAAGCGAGACGATCAGAACTCAGGTCCATCATCCACAACTGCCCTCTCAAAGACTTGGAGAAGCACAGTCACATCCTCAAAGATGCAGCAAAGGAATGTTTGCAGTGTGGGCAGCACCTACAACAAGCCTCGCGAATGAAGGCACGCTGGCAGGCCAGTCATCCGGCTCTATGGCGGGCGACGAGGACCAGCGCCAATGCTGAGGCCCAGAGTCTCAGTGCAATGATGCGTAAGCCCTGCTGCTTTTGCGGTAGTCAAGCCAAAAACACTCAACTTCATGCCAAACAGTGTCCCATGCTTTTTCAGATATTGGCGACCAGATGGTTGCAAGCTCACGGCCCTCCTCCGGAGGCTCATGAAGATATGACAAACCAGCAGCGCCTAGGAAACTAGAGGCAGCGCCCCAGTACCAAAGTTTTGTATCTCCACTCAAGCTTGCATTCCAGAAGGCCGCCCACAGCTCAGCGACAGCGACCGATGGAGCAGAGAAACCGGCCCTACTTGAACAGGCAAGACAGCCACAGGCGGATGCTTTACCGCAGCTACCCGTACGGACTCTGGCATCCATGCGACGTGCACAGGAGCATGCTGGCACCATCAGACACTTCTTTGCGCCGCGACCTCAGGTTGAACCCAGCGGGAACGCACCCAACATGGAGATCCCGTGGACCTGCATGCTTAGACTCCGCAATCCTCACTCCATATGCTATGCCAATGCGGCGACCTTGGCACTACTACATGCTGTCAGGACTTTAGAAGTGCCGGATCCAGCCATACAGTTCTTGTTCAAGGTAGGCCCCAAGGCGGTGGAGCGTGACAAGGACATGCTCCTCCCCCAGATGCAGCTTTTTCGTGCACTTGTTCCCGCGTGGGAGTTCAATTCAGAACAAAAAGATTCTGCAGAATTCCTACATGCGATCTTTGAGAGAGCCTGCTGCAAACAGTCTGGGACGAGCGCGTCAGCACACCGGACGGCATCAGACTCCGAACGCAAGGAGGGCTTCCACTCACCATCACAATGCCTCCAGCGACCCATGCAGCCTCTCTTCAGGAGCTTCTACGTGGATGGCACCAGCACGATGGAGCCGTCGCGGCCTTAACAGCGAAGCCCGGCCTGCTATGTATACAGCTGGGGAGATATGGACTTTCAGGCAAGCAGTTCCGAAAGGTGGACCTTCCAGACAGGCTTTGGGTCCCCGTCTTCCAGGAAGACTCCAGCGTTATGTGGCATGCGTTTCGGCTACAGAGTGTTGTTCTTCATCTTGGGAGGACTCCAACAACGGGCCACTACAGAGCTCTACAGTGGGTCGGAGCCTCGTGGTACCTTACAGACGATCACAAACACGCAGAGCGTACCAATCTACATGACGGGCATCACAGGAACACGTATCTTTTCATGCTTACTTCCTGTGAAGACACGAAAGCGGAGCGGACTTTGGAGTCCGCGCTACTGCAGCGCTGAGGGCTCAACGTCCCTACTGCAGCGCTGAGGGCTCAACGTCCCTGCCAGGGTAGAGGAAGCGCCGCTAACTCAGTTCGATAGTGGACATGGCCATGGACCTGGACCCCATCGAGCGCAAGGAGGCGAGTTCTTCGACGGCTACTGGCCAGCGGTCAAAGCGGCAATGGGAGGAGAGGCCTCCACAGCCGCTCCACCTTCCCTGGCGGAGGACGAGGACGATGAGGCCCATGACGGCGACAGAGCGCCTAAGCAGGCCAAGACGACGGACAGCAAAGGCCCTCCAGGCAAAGGCCGCGGACAACAACAGCAAGGAAAACACCGAGGACGCGATGACGCGCAAGGAAACGGCAGCGGAAGTGGCCATGGCGGATGGGGGGACAACGACTGGACTTCGTGGCAAGAAGGCCGGAGCTGGGGCGGCAATGGTAATGGCAACGGCAATGGGGGCCAAATCAAAGGCCTCAAGGCGGAGATCAAGCAGCTCCGGGAGTCGGTGTTTGCTCTGCAAAGACTGACCCTCAGACATGAGGATTTTGGCAATTGCCTCAAGGCTGAGCTGTCATGGGTGATGTTTTTACGGCTTGACATGAAGGCGACCATCCTCCCCTGTCTCTACAAGATGCAGGAGAAATGGAGGGAGCTGAAAGAAAAGCACCCGGACCAGCTCACTGCGCCAATGAGGGTCGACCTGGTCAAGGCCATGTTCAAGGAGATGGGCTCGCGCCTCACGCTGCTGTTACAGCAAGAAGATCAGATGGAGACGCTGATCAAACTCGGGTGGATGAGCAAGGAGCCCCTGGAATGGAATTATGTACGTTGGGATGCGGATCACGAGCGCCTACGACCGGACCCAAACCGGGAGGCGGTACCCCACGAAAAAGTGGTGGCGATCGTTGGCTCCATTCAGCAACTGGCGGACGTGCTTCAACCCGAGCCGGGAGATCACACAGCAGATGGGCGGCCGCAACCTCACGATGTCGCTGCAGACCTGCATACATGGAACAGCAGCAGCTTCGCTGAGGGAGCACCTCCAAGCCCTCAGTGGTCTCAGTGCTACGCAACTGATCGGCATGGGCCTTCGTCAAGATCGACAAGGACGCTCAGCGCTGGCCAACACCATCCAGAAGCAGATCAGCAACGACAGATCCTAAACCGGATGAGTGAGCAGGCTCACTACAGGTGAGCGACCGGGCCTTTCGTCTTTTGCATTGCCTACATCTGCGCAAGCAGTCACAAGTATAATGCCGTGGAACGGCATCGGTGGCGGCGGATCCTGCAGAGCCTTGATTTTGGCTTTTGTGCTAGGGCTGATGCTTGGCTCTATCGGGGCGGTCAGCCTGGAGCATCAATCACTCAATGGGAAGCGCCAATCAGTGCGCGTGAAGCCGCGCACGCAAGCATCCCTTCAGAAAAGGCTATGGCAGGAGGACGTTACGGCAGCGCAGTCCCATCTCTTTTCATGGGAATGGATTCCTAAGGTCGATGTGCTCAGCCTCGCCGACTTTGTCAAGGCCTTACACAGCGTGCGAAAGCCCCCACCTTCGAGCATGTGTTCTTCCGTGACCCTAGGCACCGCAGCTGGCTAGGGCTCTTTACGTCAAGGTATGTGTTGAAGGAAACTCGCACAGGCATGGAGGAAGCCTCAGATCCGGAGTCCCCCGTTGAGTGGACGCAGGGAAGCAATCCACTCCTACTACAGGGTATCTACATGGTAGGAGCGCAGCCCATCAATGCCCACGAGGAGGATATGCGAGAGCACTACCTCAGACAACAGGTCTACCTCATACGCGGTGTTGATCTAGTGGAGCAATCGGTCCCGACCACGGACCCAGCGGAAGCTCTTTCTTTCGCGTTTGTCAGTAGCGGCCAGGCCACCTGGACACAGCTCTTGCGCCTGCTAATGCTGCTGCCCGCGGATGCCAATCTCAGGTGGACTCAACAACCCTGCAACGGGGCACAGGCCGCGCCCAAGAGATTTACCATTGGGGCATGGCGCCGGGGCCCAATGACGGGAGTAAATGTCAATGTGCGTCGTTATCCATGGACGGCAAGAGCACTGGCAGGCATCTTCAAAACATGGGACCCATCGTTGCAGTTCTCAACAATAACGCTGTCGCTCAACATCATGTCCAGCCCGCACCGAGACAGCTTCAACGAGCAACGCTCCCGAAATCTGCTGATACCGGCCTCAATATTCCAGGGAGGCGAAATTTTCTTGGAGCATGGGGAAGGAAGACATCAACTTCAGGCAGCCGGGCCGCCGGGACATATCATATCTACTCAGGACCCCGTCTCCTTTTCTCCACGGCGGCTACACGCTACTCTCCCATGGACAGGAGACAGGCTGATGATGATAGGCTTTCACATAGGCAGCTCCACACACCTGGAGCCCGACGAGGTGCAAGCTTTGTACAAGATGGGGTTTCGGATTGGACAATGGCAGTCCCGAGGAAGTACGTAAACAAGCCATGGAGAATGGTGAGCCAAGCGTACGGAGGCACAAAAAGAATGGAGTCTACATGCATGTTTTATTTTCAATTATTCCAGAGCAAGTCCAAGCGGATCAGTACACTCAGGTCGCGGTGCATCGGTCGAGGCGGGGATCAATGTCCCCCTTTCAGTGGTGAGGAGCATGTCATGTTGTACAGAGCTGAATGCCTCATCGAGGTCTGCGAAGCATGGAGCACTGAGCATCGCTAGAAGCTATGCGATGCGGGCTACAACAAGTGAGAGGAATGCAGCTGCCACATTTCGCAGCAATGCTGCTGCCACATTTCGCAGCAAGTGAGGGTGCCAACTGTAAAGCTGAGTTGAGGGTAGTGATTTTAATTAGATATTTGACGCTGACGTGAGTTCCGCACTACACAGTGCCCCACATAGAAGCTGATCTAATTAACCAGGGATGCACCGAACACTCGTTGCTGAAAGGGGCTATCGGCCCGGACGAGTGACTGTCCCTTCTGCATGTTTTTGAGCTAACGAAATTGCTGATAACAGCAACCGGGTTAAGCTGTCAAGCATAGCCGTGTCTAAGACACGCCCTTTACAAAGCCACGCTGAGGACGCCTTCGGACGTTCGCGCCACGAGAGAGAGAGAGAGAGAGCAGCAGTAGTAGTAGTAGTAGTAGTAGTAGTAGTAGTAGTAGTAGCAGTAGTAGCAGTAGCGGTAGTCAGTAGTAGTAGCAGTTGCGGTAATAGAAGTATTGCTGGTACTGTAGTCGTAGTAGTGGTAGTAATGGTCGGCGTCGTGGTGGTAGTAGAGTTGGAGTAGGAGTAGGACGGGGAGTAGGGGGGAGTCGGACCGTAGGAGTAGGAGTGGTGGTTGAGTGCTGGTGCTAGTGCTTGTGCCAGTGCTAGTGTTAGTGCAAGCCAGTGGTAGTGTAGTGGCATTAGTGGTACCACCATATGAATATGTAGTATATGGAGCAGAGTCGAAGCAGTAGTAGAAGTGGCAAAGGTGCTGGTATTGGCAGTGGCAGTGATAGTGGTAGGGGTAGAAGGCGGCTACTGCTAGAACGAACAACAGAAGCTGCAGTCTTCCATTTCAGGAGCTTCCTGCAGTTCAAGCGGCAGTCTGGCATCGCTCGGCATGGTGCCCTGAACTTGCTGGTCCTGGCCCGCCAGGGTTCTGAGCCTTTTGAAACGGGCCTTTGGGGTTTGTGGCTGGAGGCTTGGGTTGAGTGCCGGGTCGAGGTTGTCATTAATTACGGTGCCCTGAACTTCGTCTTGGACCACCAACCTGCCAGCATAAGCAAAAGCTTACTTCGTGAGCGAGGGCGAGTGCTCAGGATGATCCTTTCTGTCTGCTGTGCCCCAGTGCTTGGGTAGACTTTTTTGTAGTATCGGATTTCGATGCTGAGAATACTGAGCATGGGATTCAGGATTCGGAGTGTAGAAAGCAAGCTTCAATTTCCCCATATGAACTCACATCCAAAGCGATTGTGCTTTGTATGCCGGGCATGGTGCTGGCCGTTCTATGGTTTACTGCTCAAGGGATACCTCCAAGGGTTAAAGGGACTCACAGTGAAGCCTCGCAGGGAGCCTCTGAAAGGAATCCCTTCAATCCTTGCTTTGCTTGGGCGCAGGTGGTCTGAAGGACCGAAGGATCTCTACGGAGGCCACAACGGGTTCTGGCAGGCAGTGTGTCGCAATCAAGTATCGTGAACCGCACGGGAGGGAAACCCGGCCCGCTGGCATGTTGGCAAGACAGATGGCGACTGGAGCAAAAGACACAAAACCGTGCGGAGGTGCAGTCCTGAGTCCTGCTGACACAGCGCTTTGTTGTGCGAGAGCGGATGTAGTTCCTGAACTGGGATAGCAACGCTCCGCACTGTTTGTGCTCGCCTGGATTGCTACCACGCGATCCTTCCGGTGTGACGTCCGACCTAGTACGCTGTGGTGTTTCTAGCCTTTTCGTTGCAATGAACGCAAAGCCCATGAAGCATGAAGTCCACGCCTGCCATCCTCTTGTGGGGAGAGATGGCAGAAACAAGGTTGAGACGCATGCTGTGAGGCGGCTGTCCTGGGTCGAGAAGTCTAAAGGTTCGGTGCAGTGTTGAAAATAATCACGCGGATGTCAAGGATTTTAAAGTGCAGGTTAGGCATGCCTAGGCCGAAACTGTGTCGGCACAAGGTGTGCACTTGTTATTTACCTGTTGTGAGTTTGAAGTTCGTGATACCGACGGGACTTGCAAGTAAAACCAAGTACGTAGAACTCGGCGCGACAATTTGTAAGTACTTTCGCTTTCCTCCCCTCCAGAGCCCTGCGGTAAAAAATCGCTATTGGCTTGTGTGGTCTATCTTTTCGTCGCTAGACGGCCGGGAGCGTGTATTTTATATACACATATACATGTATACATGAATATGAGAATGCGTGTACGTGCGCGGGTGTCTGAAGGTAGAAAAGGTGCACCACAAACATGAACGCGCATGACAAATATAGACCTTCAAGTTTGTTTCGCTTTGTTGCGTATGCAGTCAGAAGCATTTCGAGTCGCAGGCATACTTGCGTATTACTTGTGTGTTTATTTTATAGATACGACATGCCTGTCTATTTTTGTCTGTGTGCATGTGCACATCAGAGACTTCCTTCCGCGGCTAGTGCAGCATCACGGCATTGGGGCTGTCGGAGGGCCTTGGAACTAGGGCTTCGGTGTACGGCTTTGCTGAGTTTCCGGTCAAAAAACGAAGAAGTTCAGCACATGCCGATGTATGTTGTGTCTCCTTGCCAACTTGAAGGTTGTCAGCATATAGGCGGTAGTTTAGCGTACACCGTGAGTGTAGTCTACAGCATCATGATCTACCGGGTCTCGTTCCGTTCCATGGCCCCACGGCTCTTATCAGCTACTCTCGACTGTGCCACTTTCTCTTATTCTGTACTTGCCTCCCGTAGATTGTGCATTACATGTCCGTCTTCATTGTCTGATCGTACAGACTATATGCCCGAGTGCCGAGAGTCCAAAACGAAAAATAAAATGCGAGAGTCTAGATTCCACCGTGTCGCATTGCCGTGCGCCCGGTAAACGCCCGGTAGTTGTGGGAGTTGTGGGGGAGAGATCTACAGGATTGTGCACGTAACCATAACATGACATGAAGGCAGCTGGAGCAATATGGCACTTTTCCCAACCAACCAGACTTTCGACCGAAGTCGAAGCCGCTACGCGGTGTCAGTTCTCAGAAGCCGCCAGCAGATTCTCAGCCTCAGTCCCGGTGATGAACACTACAAGTACGATGATCCGTCATTGTAGTCATTGGTAGTTGTGCTGAGAGACTTCAAGATGCTTCAGGGTACTCTCTTTGCAAGTGAAAGTATTGGGCGTAGCGCGGTGGCCCCAGCAAGAAAATAACAACTGCTGCAAGCAATCAGGGTATGCAGGCCACAATGTGAGACCATGATGTACTGTGCAGGAGCCCGCACCCCTAAAACTGTGACAACTCAGAAGAACGTTGCTCTTTCCTTGTTTGGAGCGTCCGAGTTACAAGACTGCAGCGGGAAAATCAACAAAGTCGAAACCCTCCATGCTGCTCGCGGCTTTGCTGGCAGAAGTGCTCCGCATGGCCTCTTCGCACCTGAGGATAAGATAAATTTCTCAGACGAAGCCGCAGCTCCGAACCTGTAGCCGTATTCATCAGACGGGTAGTACTTTGGAAT